TTTTTGAAAGTCGAGAAAATTAGATATTCAAGAGGAGGAAATGTGGGCAAATTCTACAACAAGTGGCAACCGTTTATGGACTTCTTTGCAACAATGTAACCCCCCCCCGCCCCCCTTTTTTTTATTTAATTTTATTTATTTTATTATTATTATTTATGTATTTCATTTGTCATGTCAGGTTAATTATTTTATATAGACTATACTGAAGTATCAAACACTGTATAGTTTATTTCTGTAACCGTTGTTTGTTCCAAAAAAACGATCTTAAATCTAAAGCTGTATGCAAACATGTTTAATGCTGATGCCAACATACCATGTAAGTGCCTTTGCTACTTTTGTATACACTTTAATAAAAAATATGAAACAGAAAGACAGTTATGAGAGTGGTATTGATCTACCTATCATCTAACTGTCCGCAGGCAAGCATTTCCCTGAATATCCAACTATTCATGAAAGTGAGGCCCTCCCTGCTGCCAGGGTCAGAGTTTTCCAATACTAAAAGAAATTAAACTGTTGCTGTTTCTCCCCTGACAGCCTTAAGCTCTGATGAACACAGAAATCATCAGCCAGCCCCCAAAACACACCAGTGTGCGTTCTGAATTTACGTAGTGCTGATGAATGTGTTTGAACATCCTAGACGCTTCGTCTAGTCCGATTCTAGACGGCCTAGACTTTCTGTATCTCTGAAGTGTGACGTACTTAGGCTGGTTTTTGCTTGTAGAGAATCTTTTGACACCTTTATCTCTGAATCCACTTTAACAGGAAGGCTATTTTTAGTAGTTTTGTTTGCTTCGTTAGAAAAGGCCAATGGATTTTGGAGGCCAAACTGAAGACCAGCAAGAGCAGAAATATTATCTTTGCTATTGAAACAGTTCCAGCTTGGATTTCTAGTGTTTTTGCAGCAATTCTCTCTCCTCCTTGTCGAACGCACACTTAAATATAAATCAAATTTTTCTGCCATCTAGTTGCAGTACACACTACTAAATTATCCTGAAATGATGTAATAGACTCCAATGAAACAGCAAACTTGAACCTTACCCCTACTTTAGAGTGAGATGTTCTCAAACAGCACTTGTTTCCATAAATAAACAGCATTACGCTAACAGTTTTAATATGAGTGGGCAGGAGCGGTTGGATTAAAGTGCCGAGGAGCGAAGGGAGCCAAATGTGATTAAATGTAATTAAGAAAGCAGTTGGATCAGACAGGCAGAATCAGTCAAAGTAACCAAATCACAAAGGAGACCATGGAGTGGGTCAGCACTTTTCTTTTTTATTGTTGCACATATTGTTGCATTTCTCATTGAATAAATAATAAATAATATACATGTGCAAAATATATATATATATTCATTACATAGAAAATAAAGCCTGAGAATCCTTCAATGACATTTCTTTAGAATTAAGGACTGTCATAACATGCTTTGAAGAGTTTGTCATAAGAAATATTTCATTCAGTCAGTGAACAGCATCTTCGACCTGCTACAACAGGTTTACTTGAAATACAGCAACAAAACAGAAGTTTTCAGGGAACAAGAGGATGATTTGATAATTAATAAAAATGTCACTGTAATATGTTGTCTCGAGCAAAAGCATCTCAAATATAAAATAATAAAAACATGCTGCCTCTTGCCTTCTAATAAATAATCTGGAGCATACAGAGGCCGTGGCAGATGGTCAACAGAAGGCCTGCAAGGGTTGTGAGCTAACAGCTGTTCAATTTTAAAAGTGTCATCTTCGCCTGGGTGTTACATCTGTGATTCTCTTTGATATTATACAGCTTTATGTTTATGGGCACAGAAAGTAGAGCAAGCCGAGAACAGTGACAATGGCGACATCTACTGGCTGTTTTGCGGCGCTGCAGTCACAAATACATACATAATATAGTAATGGGTACACACGAGACATTTGTAGAGGTGATTATATGGGACCATGCTGTTTGTAGTAGGACGGATACCTTGGGTTGGGAGTCCAACCAACACACAGACAGTCCAGTCTCTAAGCTGCCACAGTTTAGAGAGGCAATATTCCCACTTGGACGAACAGGAAAATGTACACAAGCATGGATCAGTGGACAGAACAGACATGTCAGTGAAACAGAGAATAGAATCAGATTACACAATAAACAAGCACTGTTATCTACCCAGTGCAGACGTATTAGAGTGTAATCCTTGAATACATGCAATTCAAATGATTACCCACTGTACTGAAAACACCTCTATCATTATCAAGACCTTCACAGAGTTCAAGTGGGTATTAATGAATAATGCGGCTACGTTTGAGGTATGCTTTACAATCCACCGCACATTACGGTACACGTGCATGTTGGAGGGCTAAAGCGTGTTTCAGTCCCAAAGCAGCAGGTTTACAAACTCCTTATCCGTTAACCACCTCTTCAGGCTGTTGATGCACTGATGCGCTTTACTGAATCCCTCTGGGAACAGCAAAGACTCATCTTAATATATATTATATATTTATAACTAGTACAGTGATTCAAAATGTTGATGAAACTTTGGCACTCAGTCATGTTTATGATAAAAAAAAATAGAATAACAGTAAGCAAAAGCAGCTGACGGAGGTAATGAATTGTTTGGTGAAGATCTGTGAATGTTTCCCTTCAACTGATAATGTTCACATTGCTTTTTAACTGATTGAAGCAGGGTGTGCTGGATGAAAGGGAGACTGATTTGAAAATGAAGGACAGTAGTCCTCATTCCCACTGAGTAGATATTTGTATGCTACTCTCAGAAAGGCCATTTCATATTCAGCTTACGGTTATGCTGGCTTGTCGAGAAAAGATTATCATGTCATCGCTTTAGAGATGCCTTTCCTGTGTGACCAGACTGTAGATCAGTGTGGTTCTCTGCCTTTTTGGTGTCATGGACCTCCAAATTGAGACACATCAAGCTGCAGACCTATATTTGATAAGATGTAGTCTCAGGGATCCCCAACTGATAAGATTCATTTGTTGTGGAACTGTCTACACTGCACATAGGATAAACAGTGATGAGTGTGTAACCTATGAACAGAAAAGTGTTATTGGGCTAACTTTTAGTCAGTTAAATATGAGAGAAATTAAAATAGTCCCCATTTTTTCTGGGGAACCCCTTGAGAACTGTTCCTCTACATAAATAACAGAGAAGTCTATAAAACATGTCCCTTCAGGATTTTGCGGCAGCTTTTCCAAAACATTGTGATGCATGGTGCAACGTTTTTAGGCATTTTTTACCATAAAATTGCAGGAGAATGAGAAAATTGCAAAAATAGTTGGTTGAATTTGCATGAACTGTTGCCATCGCAACATCGCAACTTCCTGGAGGGACTGATTAAAGAGCATCCTGTGTTTCACTTCAGGTTAACAGATACAAAACCTTAAAAAATGACGTAGCTCATGAAACCACAAATAAACTGAACCATCAGTCATTATACACAGATAATATTTCATAAATAGGACACTTTAGATTTCATCTATCGAGTAATCTATCCAACACTGAAAGTGCATAAATAGGTCACAAAGGCACTGCCTGATTCCTTTCCACTTTTACTAGAGGGCGTCAAATTTCAGTCCCCATTCTTATGGTCAGGGTCAGGGTCGACATCTTGCGTTAGGGAAGTAAAGGAGCAGGCTTTACCCAGCTGGTAGTGCTCCCTAATGGACTCATCCACCTCCAGGTCTGGCCTCTCCTTCTTCACTCCATTCTTTCTATCAAACTCTGCGGTAATCTCAGCCAGCGTCTTCCCTTTAGTCTCTGGTAGGGTAAGCCCGAAAAACACGGCGGACACCACACACACGCCCAAGAAGGGCAGGAAGCAGAAGTTCCCCAGGCCGCTGACGATGAAGGGGAACAGCATTCCCACCAGGAACAGGCTGATCCACATGAACGAGCCAGCGACCATGTACGCCGACGGCCGAGCCGCCTGGTCAAAGATCTCGGCTGGTAAGATCCCCGTCACCCCTGCTGGGCCCAAGCCGAAGCTAAGGATGTAGGCGAACACACATGCCATGCTGAGGTAGGGCATCCCAGCCACCCCGTGGCTCTGAAGGGTAAGAGCTACAGTGAAGACCACAGTCCAGCAAGACATAAGACTGTACCCTCCAACAAGAAGGGACCTGCGGCCCACACGTTCAATCAGGAGGTTACTCAGGATAGAAGCAGTGAACTCAGATGCCCCCGTGCCGATGGTGATGTACTGGACTCTCTCTGGAGGGATCCCTGCTTCAAGAAAGATGTAGGAAGCATAGAAGTAGAAGGAGTCATTACCGCAGAGCATCATGGCACTACTGGCAGCCATGACCGTTCTGAGCTGGGCTCGCAGGTCAGGATTCTTAAACAGGGACCAGGGCGTTGTGGCAGAAGCTGCAGATCCAGAATTTAAGGCTGCGGATTTCTGCTGCTGCTGCTCCTGAAGCATCTCCTCCATCTCCAGGACAGGAGCCACCCCACCACGAAGCCTTCCGAGCGCCCGGACACATGCTTCCCTGTCTCCCCGGTCAATGAGCAGGTATCTGGGGCTTTCAGGGAACCAGGGTAAGGTAAGGAGCTGGATCAACCCTGGCAAAGCATTACTAGCAAGCAAGTAGGGCCAAAGAGGCTCTGTGCCCAGCAGCTCAGTGAGTCCCACAACCTGACCCAGGAAGATCCCAAATGCAGTGAAAACAGCAGAGGAGAAAGCCACAGCACCCCGGAGGTGTTTGGGGGCACTTTCCCCAAAGTACATAGGCTGGACGTTCATACTCACTCCTGCGTTTATCCCCACCAGAAAACGCGCGAAGATGAGCATCTCAAACGATCTCGCCGCCCTGCACGTTAGCACAAACGCGGCGCCGACAAACAGGAAAGAGTTGTTCAAAAGAAGCGAGTTCTTCCTACCAAAGCGGACCGCCAGAGGCCCTGCTAGCAGGGCTCCTAGCAAACCGCCCAGTGAGAAGGCTGACACAATGACAGTCCATATTAGGGTCACCTGAGGGGTCTCCAAGGCGATGCCCCAGCGCTCCATGTAGGTATCATTGATGAAGCCCTGGATGTAGCTGGTAGGAGCGTTGATGATTGAGATGTTGTAGCCATACTGGAAGGTTCCTCCGATGGCAGCAGAGCAGACAGTCAAGGTAAGGGTCCTGCCCGAGGGTTTGCTGGTTTCATCTGGCTCAGTGTCACCTGTGGAGTTCATCTCAAACCTGGCTGTCCCAGAGGACAAGCAAACATGTGCCCTTCCCTCTGTCTCCTATCTCACTCTATTCCTTACAGGCATTACAGGTAGCTCTTGCTAGCTTAAGCTTGATATATAACAAATAATAAAATAGAGTATAACGTGTCTTCTATAACCAAGCTAAGGTTCATGTCGTCGTGTGGTTTGATAGAAAGGCACACTGACATTCTGCTGGTAAAGCCGGTGTCAATGTTTTTATGATATTTAATTTTACCTCAGTTTAACCTGTCAGGCAACTGCCTGTCAATCACCTACATGGGTGACCCAGCTACAACAACCAAGCAAACAGCATCACATGGAAAAGTGTTTGTGTCCGAATATTATTATTGTTGAGCTTGTGAGCAGCGCCAACAAGGTCCACATAACTAACAGCTAAAATCAGAAATATTACCTCGACAGTCAAAGCTGAGGGATTAAATTCCCACAGAACCGCGCGTCTCTGCCTGTGTGCGTACAGTCTTTTGATTGGTTAACATCAAGCTAAACCACTCGCGTCATCTTTCTGCGACTGCTGCTGTCGCGAGTGGGTGGAAACATGTAAGTGAACGCTGCAGTTTCACTGAACTAGCGTCTCTTAGGCGGGAATATGTGTGTAAGGCTAACAAAGAGCAACGCTGTAACGTCAGAGTCGTAATAAATGGAGCATATGTGTTTTCAAACGCGCATTATAATGAGCCAATATTAGCTCACTGGCTAATGGTAGCATGGACAGGTGTGTGGCTAAGTAACGTTACTGATACAGCGTCATCACATCTGTATTCAGAGGAAGCACTCGAAGAAAACTGACAGCTGTATAGTCGGAATACGTTATGACAAATAAAATTTAAATGACTCCAGTTTTTACTTAAATCCATGTTGTATGAGTCAGCACAATTAATTCTGCAGCCATAATGGGGTTTCTCAAATGTAAACGGAGTGCATTTATTGCTCAGTGTTTTGTTCTTTCAGCAGATACAGCAGGTGGACCCACGCACGGATTTTTGCCCATTGTGAAAGTGTCTCTAAGCGCTGTCCGATGCCTTAAATCCCGACTTGCCTTTGCTTTCTCCTCCTCCAACAGGGCACCTTCCCCAACAAAGAGGAAGGAGGACGACAAGAGTAAACAGCGAGGTAAGGAGAAGTCAGGAGCCGCCAAGGAAGGAGCAGACAAAGGCCGGGGCCGAGACAAGAACCGCACGCGGCGCAGTGCCTCCAGCGGGAGCAGCAGGTCAGAGGCCACATGCTGCCAGCTTCCACTTTGTTGTTGTTCTGACTTGGACGCGGATTCAGACACTTCTTCCCATCCTCATGCCCTTCCTGCTCTCGTTTAGGTCCAGCTCCAGTTCCAGCAGCAGCTCGGGCTCCAGCTCGGGCTCCTCCAGCGGCTCCAGCTCCTCCGCCTCCAGCCACTCAGGCTCATCCAGCTCCCGCTCCTCTTCCTCCTCCTCCTCGTCCTCCTCGCCGAGTCCCAGCCGCCAGCGCCACAACAACAGACGGCGTTCGCGCTCAAAGTACGGGAAATGAGTTGGGACTGAATCCTTTTTATTAAGGGTATAATCGAGGAACATATGGGACACTTCTGTTAACTAATGTTTACACTCTAGGTCAAAATCAGCAAAGAAGGATGACAGGGACCGACGGCGCAGGAGCCCCACACCCAAACCCACCAAGGTCTACCTGGGCCGGCTGACCAGGAATGTTATCAAGGTGAATATTTAACTGCAGTACTGACCTTGTAAGGCTGCTCATAGAGACTCTGCTGCACATTAAAGGTTTACACTGCTTCCCTGGCTGAATGTGAACCTTCTGAAGTATTTTCACGATCCGTATCGGTTGCGTTTTGCATCAGGGAGAAAGGCAACACAAGCCCCAAATAAATTCCAAGTACTCGGAAAACATTCTTAGTAACAACTTTCATTTTCTCTTTTTCTTTTTTTTTTGTTCTGTTGGGTTTACATACGGGTGCATCTCAGTAAATTAGAATATCATGGAAAAGTTCATTTATTTCAGTAATTCAAAAAGTGAACCTCATATATCATATAGATTCATTACACACACAGTGAAATATTTCAGCGTTTATTATGGTATATGGAACATAAACTTTTTTTTATTGGTCTATTTGGTAATATTCACATTTTCGAGGCTACTGATTTGGGTGTTAGCTGTAAGCCATAATCATCAAAATTAAAAGAAATAAAGGCTTGAAATATTTCACTCTGTGTAATGAATCTATCTGATATATGAGTTTCACTTTCTGAATTGAATCATTGAAATAAATGAACTTTTCCATGATAATCTAATTTATTGAGATGCACCTGTATATTCAGGAACATCATTATTTAACATTTATTTTATTTAACATAATGAAAAGTAATAGACACACTTTTCAGGAATAGCACTGAACTGTAGAATAGTGTGTTTGTAGCCAGTTTCTAGACCAAAAAATATATTTGATTTTGTTGAGTTTTGGCCCTCCAAGGGAAAACGTTTGGGCACCGCTGTTCTAGAGCTTTGAAAATGACTGCAAGATTATGACATGGTGTCAGAGACTCCGATGCTCTCGGCTGCTCTTGGCAGCCCACAATCTTGCTCAGCGTATTATTCCTGAGCAATGAAGATTTGTTACAAAAAAATTGTGCCCAAAATGGAGGTAATAGTTTGAAGTCGATGCCTTTATTGTTTGCAGTGAGCTCACTTCACCATTAAAGTGTGCAGGAGCTGAGTTTTGGAATTAGAGAAAGCGTTAAGTGCCACAGTATAAGAGAGGGAATCTGTTGTGTGAAGTTAACAGGTATTACCTTGTTTGTACACAAGCATAATTAAATGAAAGTACACTTAAGTGCTTACATGCATGAGTAATGAAAAAAGGGACGGATGAATAACTGCGCTCTGTTACTTGAGTTATGCAATCATTTTATTTTGACATTATTGAGTTATGTAATAATGTTATTACCTTCATCTGGTTCAAATGGGGAATTTTTTAACTTTACAGTTGAAATCGACCTGAAGCTGCTCTCATGTGGTAATGACTAAATAAATTCCCTTCATACAAAGAGCTGAAATGTATTCCACTTACACTAATGAGAGACTAATGGTCCCTTTTATATAAATGTGTCTAGATGTAGTGGCCATTGTAAAAGCATCCTCTGTTGTGCCCTTTGAAGGAACACATCCAGGAGATCTTCTCCACTTACGGCAAGATCAAGATGATCGACATGCCCATGAACCGCGTCCACCCTCACCTGTCCAAAGGTTACGCGTACGTGGAGTTTGAAACACCCGAGGAGGCAGAGAAGGCCCTGAAACACATGGACGGCGGTAAGAGTAAGAGTGTGGGGATTGCGTAAGAGCCATATTGTGTACGATTGTGCAGTGGCGTGTAGAGGATGTTTGTTTGTGGCGCTTATACTAATGTCTCAAACAAATCCGGTCACTGGTAAAATGCTGAACCTTCAATATTCTTGTTTTCAGGTCAGATCGATGGTCAGGAGATCACAGTCACCGCTGTGCTGACTCCCACAGTGCGCCCTCCCCCCCGCAGGCTGTCCCCTCCCCGCAGGATGCCCCCTCCACCC